AGAATAATACGATTATGAGCCCGTCTAATATGGAAATCAAACCTTCTTCTTTGACACAACCTCTACCTGATAACCTATACTCAAATCTTTCTTTCTATTTTCTTTACAATTATTCACTCGAGGGTCTACACAGTTTTATGAAAGATAAAAGAAGATTACAATATAAGTTCAAGTGAAGTGCGTACTTCACAACTAAGGCTAGGCGAGGATTATGTAGTGTTTGAGGACTGCATTTGTCAAGGAATAACCCAAGGGTATTTCAAATCAAGGATCCTGGTTCAGTCCTTGATTTCGGCTGATTGATTCATGTCCATTTGAGCTAGCCGATTCCTTCCTTCTTTGGAGATTTTATGGTGATCTTTATTCTCTTCCTTCTCTTGAGGATATTTATGTGATCTTAATATTCGCCCTTCTTTTTAAGGATTTTCTTGTAGTCTTGGTACTAGGCTAATTTGATTTTCTATCTTCCAGGTTACTTCATCCTAGTCATGCACTAGGATTGTGATTTCTTCAATTCCGATGAGTCCATGAATAATGACAGCGTTGCTTCAGTAAGGGCAGCTCGTTGCTTTCCTTCTTTGGTGTTCTTCCCTTTTTATTCTCATTCTTGATTTAATATGAATCTATTTTGATTGATTCCAACAATGAAATTATCTTGTAAGATTTGATTTGATTCCTTGAGTTCAAATTGATTTGAATGAATCTATCTTTTGTTAGATTGATTTGAGTGAATCAATCTTCTCCTTAATTGACTGATGCTCATTTGATTCTTGAAACATCAATCTGTAAGATTTTGTTATCTAACACAAATACACTAATCTTGATTTTCCTGCGACACAAGGTAGTTTTTCATTATACAAAACATTATAAGTTAACAATCTCCCCAATTTTGATAATGATAAAATTTAACTATACAATTTAGTTTAACTTCCCTGTTTAACAATTTTCTGACTCCCCTTTTTTGTATGCTCCCCCTTTCTATATGCTTCCATCTTTTTGTATGTTTCCAGTATAGTTATCTAAATTCTCCCTCTTTGACATAATCAAAAAGTAAAACAATATATACAAGAACAATTGGACAAGTAGTAAACTAAAGAATTTAATTATAAACATAGTAATTTCAAGATATTTGAAGGAAATGAAATCTTTCTTCAAACAAGGGTTTTGTAAAACCATCAGCTAATTAATTTTTAGAACCGACAAACAAACTCAAGCAAGAAATTACCATTTTGAACAAGATTATGAATGAAAAACATGCCACGAATTGATGCAGAGAATAGATAAACTAATAGCATTGTACAATCAAAGAATATTGGAACATCTTTAGAAGATAAGTTGAGGTCCAATGATTGACGCATCACCAAAAGAAGTTGAGTACCACAACTTCCAATTGTTTCACTAGTGCTTTTACTGTATTTTTGTCACCTGCAAAGTCAGCGTATAAAAATTCGGATACATTAAAATTTCAGAAAGGATACCATGGTCCCTTTACAAACGATCGACTTGCATTGAGATATAGTAAAGATCCAGTCAATCCTCGATATAGTTATTCATCAACCACATTTCCTTGATTGATGAAAATTTCATTTTCTAATCGCTTTATTTGTCAATTAATTTTTCTCTAAATGATCAAGTTCTTCTTTCATAACTTGTATCCACAACTCATTCATTTATTCGTTTGAATTCTATTTTGGGATACTAGAACTTCTGACTTTTGTAGTATGAATTTTATCATCCCAAGATAAATTTTCAAGATAGCTTGCGTTGCATCTCCATTCCTTGTGGATAGCTATTTTGTCAACTGGGGTAGACGACTTCACCTCTACATGAGCCGACTCTTCGGCAACAAATTCGATTCTTTATGCAAAAATGACTAGGAAGATTTCAATCCAACAACATTGTTGTTGTTGTATCTTGTAAGGAACAATTGTTTCTTTCCATCTCTCCATTTCCTTGAAGTGATCTAGGTGAAGAGAAATTTTGAGTGAAGCTGTTTGAGCATTAAAATCTTCAAATGCCTGATTTTCAAATTCGCCATCATGATCACAAGTTTATGTGCATCATGGATATGATCCTTTTCAAAGTACAATTTTGGAAGTCCGACAACTCGTTCTAATCTAGGTGACTTCTCAAGAGCATGCAAACTTGTTCAAGATTTTGGTGTCATAACCAATGATCATTATAAGCTTTGGTAAGACAAGTAAGATTAGATAGATTAACAATAATTAAGACATATATATATTTTATCCCTTTGATCTCCTCTAATGAAAGAAATTATTTCTGTTGTTTGATTGTGCAACTTTTGGTATTGAGGGAAACTTGAAACCAAGTGTCACATAGTTGACTAATGCTGAGGAGATTTTGCTCGAGTCCTTCAACAAGGTATCCCCTCTTGACTTTTACTTAGCTGTTTGAATCATATTGTTTGTGATAGAACTGTTTGAGACATGTCAATTACAAAAACCTTGCAAAAACTGATCAACTTAAAAGTTTCTTCTAACTTCTAGTGCAATAAATCAAAATGTCAAGTATGTATTGTTGAAAAAAAAATTATATTTTAGAATTGATTAACAATGACATTTGTGAGATAAAGTCAACACCATCTCGTAGTGAATAAAATGTTTCATAAATTTTATTGATGATTGCACCAGATATTGTTATATTTATTTGCTAAATGGTAAGGATGAAACAATAGTAACATATAGACGATAAAAAACTAAATTGAAAATAAGTTGGATAAGAAAATTTGTCACAATTAGAAGTGGTAGATGTGGATAATATGATTTTTTTTTGCAGAAATATATTTGGAAATGGAATCATCCATAACATTAATGCATATTCTCACCTTAATCTAATGAAATTGTTGACCAGAAAAACCAAATTTTGAAGGAAATGTTGAATGTCATATTATAAGGTCAAGTTTACTACAAAAATTGTGGATAGTGCTATCATTACAACAAAAGAGAACAACAAAATGTTTGTCTGAAATAATTTTTTTTTGTTAGTAAAGGAGTAAGAAATAAAATAAATTTTTTTTATTTGTTAAGAAAGGGAGCAAATAATAGTTGTGTTTGTTCAAACTTTGTAGTATCATGATAGAGAATAGTTTGTCCCCCCTTAAAATTATATACAAAAAATAATTCTTAAAAGACAGTGATTTAAAATATTTTCAATAAACTTTATTCCATATGTGAAATGGAAATGAGGGAACTATTTCCAAAAGGGTCAAAATTAAACCTAAGATTGTGAATTCTATGTTGATTGAATATGCTACAAATAATAAAACATGTCGATTTACGATTGATAAATCCGAACTATTGGATAGTCAAGTAAAATATCTAAACGACCTTGAAAAGAACCAATGGAGAATGTACTTAATAAAGAGATTCAAATGCATAATAAATGTCAATGGACAAATTACTTCTTCAAGTTTAATTTTGTGACATTTCTTCTTGAAAATGAGTCTTATATATTCTGAAAGTTATGTCCTTTGCGGACTTATCCTTTTTGGACAGAGACTGTAAATAGTAAGATAGATTCAATCTTGAACAATCACATTGGAGATTTAGTTAATCTTCCTCCAAAAAATAAATCTGTGTTCAAAATAAATTTATAATAGAAAAAGAAAATTGATGAAACTATTGACAAATACAAAGTAACACTTGTTGCCATAGACTTTAGACAATAAGAAAGTTGTCTAAAGTTGCATTGCATAGCAGACCTCATATAACCTGTGAAGTAGTTGTATCTCTTCCATTCATAGGACTAGTCTTTGTCAAAAAGTCATCTTCAAATGAAAATAATTACCTCCATCATTTATCTAAAAAAATTAACAAATAAATCAAATTATTTGAACTTAAAACAATTAATCTACTTTTTTAATTACCACTAAGAAAGTAACAAAAAATTTTACTTTTTTGACCATTAGAATCCCTAATTAAATTTTATGAGTATTTGATGTCTTAATTCTATGGTGATTTAAGCATTACAATATTTGAGTGCAAATTCGGTAATTTGTCATATCGAATGAGCAAGATATGCAGAAACTGGAAGGCTTGCCTCCTCATTCCCTTACCGTAACAAATATTGTATTTGTATAAAAATTCTTGAGGTTTCAAACACTTATCACATGACTAGACTTCCAACCAAGTATGGAGAAAGAAATGAAATTTAAAGATGAACTAGAGCAAAAATCAAAACTTTGCCATAGTTTAAAGACTTGTATATCATACTAAATTGTATGCTATAAGAGTCCACACGCCTTGGCTAACGTTAAAATAGTATGGTGGCCATTTAAGTAGATGATATAGTGCACTAATTCAGTACGTTATTGTTAATTTTTTGTTATTTTTACTTTAACAAGTTATAGTTATGTTCACTTTTCTTTTATTACACATCATTTAGATTCCAGACTCGAATCCTCATTTATTATGCCATTAATTTAATACTCTATATGTTTCATATTTCATTTACTTCTATTATTCAATAATACTTGTTTATTATTGATTTTGAATACTATATCACTATTTGAATATAATAAATATAATATCTTAAAAAATGTAATACATAAATGATAATAATAAATTAAGAATTAAGTGTAAAGTTATTCACTGATTTCATAAAGTGAACAAGTATTGTTGGACATTTTAAAATATTATAGTTGACAACTATTATTGGACGGAGGGATTGATATATATTGTTTAATATGTCTAAAAGAAAATGTCTATCTTACTATAATTAAAAAGTATTTAATTATAAATTTCGTCTTTTTGCTTCAATAAAATGCTATATAACAATTATTGATTGTTAAATAGTGTAAGATAAAATGGAAGAATAAAAGTTAAGATTGAGTAAAAGGGCGTAGTATGAATGAGTTGGCAATATATCCGGAAAAAAGGTAATGCCAAGGTGTCGATAGTTAACTGCGGTTATAATATGACCACATTGGATGGTTAAGGGCATAAGAGGCGTCGGTGGAGGTCAAGTTAGCCAGTCTTGAGAAATAAAAAGGACCGTTGAATAAATATAGAAAAAATATAGAGAGAAGAAGATTGAAGAGAGAAAGAATCGCTTGGTTTATAAGCCATTAAAGCCTTCCCTGTTGGAACTTTTTTACATATATATATATATGCATTTAAAACTGAGAAAGGATTGTAATGGCAGATTCTAATTCAAGTACCGATTCTGTTTCCATTGATGTTGAGACCATTTATCTTGGCGGAAAGGTTCCATTTTCTTCTTCTTTCTCTCTTTCTGTATGTCCATTGTTCAATTAACGAAATGGGGTTTTGCTTTTTTAAGTTTCTCTGTAAAGGGCTTTGTTTGTTTCTCTTTCAAATCATTTTTGGGTTTCACAAGTTGTTTACTGTAGATTATGGGTTTCTAGATCTTTGATAGAAATATAAAGATTGTTCTTGTCACACTTGGAGATTTTGTGTCCATCATTTCTTGTTTTTTTTTCCAATTGGGACGTCAGTAACGGAATTCCTCAAATAAAACTTTTTTTATAGTAATTGGATTTCATCTTCTCTTGCAATTCTGCCCTTTTCAACAACTGCTATAATCCCAAAATGCAGTGAGCCGATCATATACTTATGCTGGTTGCACATAGTTGGGTTGGGGGATTACAACAACAACACACCCCTGTAATTCCACAAGTGGTTGAGGGGGAAATTATTATTACTTTTTTTTTTGGAAATTGAAGAGGTGGAGGACAACAATGTCTTGTACTTGAGATGTGAGTGATCTTGCATAAGAGAATACAAATCATACTGATTAGTAGAGCTTTTAAACTTGGAGGGGTTAGATTATGGATGTACGTTTTTCTTGATTTACCTAACTTATACAAAGAAATTATATTCAGGAGCATATTGTACGGACTGGCTGCGGCTCTGTCTCTGTTATAGTTTATGGAGACCAAGAGAAGCCACCATTAATAACTTATCCAGATTTAGCTCTAAATCGTAAGTGACGGTTTATGTTGTAATGTTCCATATCTTCCATTTTCAGGATTCTGTTAATGTTCTTTCAGGTTGCTTATATTGTTTGCTGTTTATCTTAGTGCTTCTGAATCTTTACTTTCAAACATGCATTCTGCAGATATGTCGTGTTTCCAGGGATTGTTCTTCTGTCCGGAAGCAGCTTCATTGCTGCTCCATAACTTTTGCATTTACCACATAAGTCCTCCGGGGCATGAGGTCTGTGAATTGGACAGCTTGTTTCCTTTCATGTAATCTTATTGGGTTTTTGGCTCTCTATTCTAAGTTCCATTAGAATCGACTCAACTTATCTCCATTACTCACATACTGCTCTCTCATTTCCGCAAGAGTTCTTGCAGTTGGGAGCTGCAGCAATTTGTCCAGAGGAGCCTGTACCTTCAGTGGATGATTTGGCAGATCAGATAGTTGAGGTTCTTAACTATTTTGGGTAATTCTTGAGCTCCATTTTACTGTATGTTTAGTTATGATTATACAAGTATTGCAAATGATGTTTCTTTTCTTGTAACTTGTTAGAGATCTGTTTTCTGGTTTTTTGAGCCATTTCTTGATAACTTTGTTTTTAAGCAAGGACTCTTCCAGGGAAAAAAAGAGGAATACTTTTTAAGCAACATTTTTTGCTGTTTTCAGGCTGCGGTCAGTTATGTGTATGGGAGTAACAGCTGGTGCTTATATACTCACCTTATTTGCTGTAAGTTTGTTTTCAAAAATGACCATGTGATACTCCTCGTAGTGGTCGATCATCTATTTTCACTAACATGTATCTTATTTTGCAGATAAAACATAGGGAACGTGTTCTTGGTTTGATTCTTGTTTCCCCTGTATGCAGAGCACCTTCTTGGAGCGAATGGTTTTATAATAAGGTGATATTTCATATCTTTCTTATACCATTTCTCAATTGAGAAGCAATTACGCTCTATAGAAGTTGAGATAATTGTTCATCTTCAGGTCATGTCGAATTTACTTTACTTCTATGGAATGTGTGGTCTGCTGAAAGACTTTTTATTATACCGCTACTTCAGCAAGGTACTTGTTGTGTTCTATTATTTTTTTTTCTCCTACATGTCTGTTGCCTTTTTTGTTGTGATCAGATTGAATTAAGGAGGCTGCTTTAATTGTTTCAGGAGGTTCGGGGGTCTGCAGAAGTTCCAGAATCAGATATAGCTCAAGCATGCAGAAAAGTAAGTGCCTCTCTCCTCCGTTAGTTAGTTTGCAGATGTTAGTCAATTTCATTCTTCTTCTACCTTGTTTAGATTATTGCTATGCAGATCTTAATTACGTTTTTTATAACTATTGTATTTGGTGTTTTTCTTATCTTTTCAGTTGCTAGATGAGAGGCAAAGCATAAACATTTTACGGTTTCTACAAGCTATTGGCAGGTAAGAAACTTGATCTCAGTGCATGAAATATAGATAGCAGTGTGTTGTTTTCAAAATAGTCACAAAAGTAGACTCTTCCTAAGCAATGGTTTTGCAAATGAGCAGGAGACCAGATATCACACAAGGATTGAAGAAACTACAATGTCGAACCCTCATATTTGTTGGGGATAGTTCTCCTTTCCATTCCGAGGCTCTCCACATGACTGCTAAATTGGATAGACGATTCAGTGCCTTAGTAGAGGTATGCGCTTAATTACACTTTAATAAATCTTTAACAACGAACTGTTCCTTTTCTAGCTAAAAGTTTTGTATGTGTAGCTAATTCCATTTCTATGATGTTTGGCCGGTGAGGCAATAAGCTGTTTTGTAGTGTATACCTGAATAAAATGATGTGCAGAAGTGTCATGATTGAAGTTAATATATAGTATATTTAAAATGATACATTGGATGTATATTATGGTACTTGGGAATGGTGTTGTTGACGAAATGTATGGGCATTGTTGTGATTGTAATTGTAATTTGCAGGTACAGGAGTGTGGATCAATGGTGACAGAAGAACAGCCACATGCAATGTTGATACCAATGGAGTATTTCCTCATGGGATATGGACTATACAGACCTAACCAGTTCAGTGGCAGCCCAAGGAGTCCTCTTAGTCCATCTTGTATCGCCCCCGAGCTTCTCTCTCCAGAGAGCATGGGGCTCAAACTCAAACCTATCAAGACCCGGATTGAATCCAAGCTCCCCGGTGCACAATGATAATTTAATTTGTGTATTATATTGGAAAGAAAAAACCCTCTTTTTAAGTTTTATTGTTTGTTTGGTTGCAACTCTGGAAGGGTCAGGCAGGGTAGATATTTATATATGAGGTGTAGTATATAGGAAGTTGAAATTCTTTTATGGACATATGTAGGGAGAAAATTGGGTATTCATTCATTGGTAGGCAGAGAAAAAAAGGATTATTAAACATGTTCCCACTTTCAGTTGTATTTGTAAATTAGAAAAAAAAGAGACATTTATTTATGAAAACATGACAAATGGTGAATAAGACAGCAATTGAGCTGGTTATTGTTAGTTATATATTTTTAAATTCATAAATGACTATCCTCTTATGGTCCTACCCCCCATCCCCACTTAACACCAGGCCAAAAAAATTGCAATCCTTCCCACTTTGTCCCCTGTTCCTTTTTTTGTTTGTCTCAAAATGCCTGCAATATTTTATTTTATTTTACTTTTTAATTAATTAAATTTTGGCGAAAATGTATAATTCTCTTTATTTCCTAGACAATGAGATGAACTTGACCATTTTTATTTTATTTTTGGTGTAAATTTGATAATCACTAGTTAATGTATTTTTAAAAATATAAAAGTGACATATTTTAGATACATAAAAAAATTATTTTCTAATTTATATGACACTTTTGACTTCTTAAGATTCAACCTACGTGAATTTTATATAAATACTTTATTTTATATTTTCATCATATTGATATGAGAAGAATTGCAATTTTAATTTGTGAAAAATGTCACATGTTTATCCATTATTAATTTTAGCTTCATTTACATGAAAGAAAATGAGTTTAACTGTAAAAAAAAAATGGAAGGGTGAAATCTGGCCATTTTTAGGATAGTTAAGGGATGGTTTATGCTCACTGTGGTAGTAGAAGAATGTTTAAATTTAGAGTATATTTAAGGGATGGTTCTAGCCAAAAATTCATAATATTACAAACTAGATTATATCTAAATAATTAGCTCATACACTAGCAAGATTAGGTAAGTTTTTCTTATAATATTCTGTTGCTTATCTAATCAGTAATTATATAGGGAGAAAAATAGTTTACTCACTTTTTATGGGAACATCCTGGTGAAGCTGAGGATTAAAAGCTCTCTTCTTGCTCATTCAGTTTAGTTAGGATTGTCTATTACTTGTATAAGCTAGAGAAGAATGAGAGCAAACAAAATGAGGGATTTGTGGGTTGACCAACCGTTCGTTTTTTGAGAAAAATTAATTGAAGGACGAATCTTATCATTATTAAGATAATTGAGGGTTGTTTTTTGTCCATGGTGATAGTGCAAGGAAGTGATTTAAACATAGGGTATAGTTGAGGAATGTGTTTGGCCAAAACTTCAGTATTATGTACCCTATCACTTTTTGGTGCTTCGTCGAGATACGTTAAGATACATTTGCAATATATGTATGTTGGAATAAATGAGGTCAAAATTAAGTGTAATTTATTTTGATATATATTTATATCCAAGTGAATTCACATGTATTTGAGATATATATAACAAATCTTGCTTGTCTTTTTCACCTCTCTTTATCTTGTTCACGTATCAAGTATTTCAAATACACATAAATCACACTAAAATATTTACATACTAGAATGTGTATCTAGCGTGTTTTATCTGAGATACATGACGAATGTCATTCGCCGCCTCCCTCGTTGGCGTTTCTCCCCATTTTAGTGTATGGTAGTAAAATTTATGTATCTAAGTTTATCTTTTTGAGTATACAATAGAAAATTCTTAATTAGTAGTAAACTACATAATAATAATAATAATAATAGTATATATGATAGTGAAATATGTCTAGTTTTTTTAATTTCATTTTAGATTTTTTTTGGTGAGAAATATTTATTTTGGATTATATTAGAAACATTATTTGTTTTAAAATTTTCATGTGTACTGAAATGGAAGGCAACAACGCAACAACACAGAAAAGGTGTCAACAACTGGCATTTGTTTGGTGAAAGTAGAGGTTTGTGGTTATTATGGGAACTCTGTGCATTGCCAGTGGGATGGGGTGGCAATCCCGTCGTCTTGCATCCTATGCGGAAATAATAATGATACCCACTTTATTTTTCTTCTCTTTCATGTCCTTCCAAACCATCGGAGTGTGAAAAAAGAGAGATAATATCGAGTTTGGAGTCTAAAGGGTGAAAAATATTAATAAAATTTTTAAAACGGCACATGAATTTTGTTTTTTAATCAAAACGGTAAAATCGCTCACTAAGTAGCGATTTTGTCCACCGAAAAAAGTAAAATTGCAGCGATTTGTTAAATTTGATCTTTTTTAAAAAAAAAAATTAAACAAAATC